AGGGGCTTTGATAAAGTCAACCCCTCGAATAATTTAAAGGCCTCGATAACATCAGCCTTCGAAAAAGCCTCAAGAGGTGTTAAAATTATCGACGCAAACGGATTACAAATGGGGTTCCAACCGATTGAACCTTCAAAAAACCCAACGGATACAAAAATACATGCTAAGGCATAAAGAAAGTTTCACTAAGTCTTTAGCCGAAAAGAGGGAAAATTATAGCCGTATTAGTGGCTTAATTGGCCCAACTTAAAGAGCCTAAGGGCCAATATATAAGTTCCTAAGAGCCGAAGCATGCAGAGTTCGAGACATTACTCTCGCTCAACTCAGACTCAAGAATCCCATCATCCCGAGCTCGCATCAAATTGACATAAGCACAGCTCGATGATTAACAAAAACCTTAAGAGGTATTCTATTATAAGTTCAAAGATCGCCCAATTATTACGAAAAAACCTAAGGTTTTATTATATTCTGAATCCGAGCTAGTGCCCCCTTGATGATTAGAGTTATAACGTCAAAAAAATTCACAAATAAAGACGAAGCAGAATTCAATATAAATCAGAGATGAAGAAAAGGGAATTATTTATATTTATAAAGGGTATTTACAATGCCCATAAAGGTCCTTAGACAAAAAACAAGAACAAAAAGAACCTAATCTACTTTGGGAGATGCACCATCGGGAACCACATCCTTGGGAGCCATATCCTCGAAAGATGCACCCTCAAGAGCCACATCTTTAATAGTCTCATCTTCGGGAACCTCCTCATCGAGGATTCCATCTTCATCTCCCCCGTTCTTAGAACCACTAACAACATCTTCATTATCGCAAGAGACGAGAAACCTAGCATCGGTTTCCAGCGCCTTTTCTTGGGCTATCTCTTCAGTGAGGTCGAACCCTCGGGCATAGATTTCTTCAAGGGTCTCTCTCCAGGATTGGCACTTGGCCAAATCATTACTCTGTTTTTCCTGGTCATAGGTTTCCCTTAGCTCTGCTTGAACAGCCTCAGCATCCCTTAAGTACACGGCGATAGTTTTGTCAGTCGTGGCCTTCGTCCTCTCCACTTTTCGGCCCCGGCTTCAGCGAGTTTGGATTCGAGTTCCCCGATCTTCTTGGCCTGGGCCAGATTTTTCACTTTAATGCCTCGGAGATGAGTCTCCGCTGAGGCCAGTTGGTCTAGAGCAGCCTCTTTATCAGCAGCAAGCCGATCCATGTTCTCCTTCTATCGGTGGCAGTCAGCCTTAACCTGATCGACCTCGCCCCGGAGCTGCCTGATCACCTCCAACTTTTGCTGCAGCTGAGACATTGCAGTGTTAGCCTCCACAGTATGGCCAAGAAGACCATACTCTTTCAAAATCACGGTTACCTGCTTGTCTAGCTCGGCCTCATTTTTGTGAGCTTTGGCCAAATCATCCCGGAGGTCCTTGAGCTCCTCCTCCTTTTTGCTACAAAGGAGCCTCAAGGCCTTCTCCTTATCTGAAGACTTCCTGAGCTCAGCCTCACATTGGCTCAGCTCGGCCCTGAACTTGATGATGGCCTACACAAAAAACAAAGAGATATCAGTCAAGAGAAGGGGAGAAGAAAAAATTACAACAAATAAAAGTTAGTGTTTACCGGAGAGAAGAGACGATGAGCCTCTTCGAAGAGGGTGGATAGGTCATTAAGGTCGGCGGCATCATCGACCCTAGTGAAATAATCCTAAAAAGAATCTTTTTCGAGGACCTTGCTCGGGTAGGGCGTTCGCAAAGCTCGAGCGTCCTTTATCACCTCTTTAGAGTAAGATGGTAGAGAAGGGGAGTGACCTATTGTCACGGCCCCGAGCTCCTCACTCGGGGCGCTCTGATTAACTTCGGGGTTCTCGGCACTTGTCCCCTCCGGTGTACTTGTTGAAGGCGGGGGAATGATCTCGACCTCGGGGGACTCGAGGGCTTTGCCCGAGTGTTTCTTTGGAGTTACCTCACCATGAGGCAAGCTCCCTAGTTCAGAGGGCTTGGCGGCCTCGACCGGTTTCCTAGTTTAGGGCACCAGCGCCGATTCTTCGCCCTCATTTTATTCATCGGCCAGAAATTGGTGGGCCGAATCTGCATCCACATGAATAAGTTTCCTCCTTGGCTTCCGAGTAGGGGCCCTCTCATCCTGGGAGTCTTCGGGCTCCGAAGCCCTATTTCTCTTGTTGTCTTTCCCCGATTTTGGAATCGGGGACTCGATCTCTTCCCCGGGTGGGGCTGGCCTCATTTCAGAAAAATCTCCAATACCTACATAGATAAACGTAAGTGTGGAAAACATATCCAATAAAAGGAAAGCATTAGAAAGCCTAGGAGGAGAACTGACCGTGGTGCTTGGCCTCCCATTTGCCCCTCGATAAGTCACGCCATTTGCGCTCATCATACGAGGAGGTTGCATCTAATTTTCGTACCCAGTCTTCGAGGTCGGGGATCGCATGGGGCATCCAAGCATCAGCTGCAAAAAAGGTAAAGGCATCACGAAACTCAGAAGCAGAATATGAGAGGGTATTTGGCAGGGGCGGCTCAAGGTTATGCGGGGCCTAAGGCCAAAGTTTAATATGAGGTCTAAAGTTTTAAAAGAACGTTATAACATATATATGTTTTTATTTGATGTCTATTCTTCTAGCTTTTTGAAATGCAAAGTTGTTAATATTTTCTATAATCAATTTTCTCTAATTATTCTTATTCAATTGATAATATAGCCAACTCGTTTAATCTTTCTTGAGATATTGTTGATCTTAGATAAGATTTTATAGAGCAATAGAAGTATAGAATTATTGGAAGCTTAAAAGTATTGTTGAACAGTGGAACTAATGAAATCTTGAAGAAAGAAAGCGAGTAATGAAATCTTAGAGAAATAAGGTGAGTAAGAATATTAAAGAAAAGACAGAAAATATGTAAGGTTTTCTAAAATATAAAGAGATTGGAGAAAAGAAAGATTGACTTGGACATATTAAGAAAGGGAGAGTAAATTTTTTATACATTATCTAATGAACGAGTAAAACTGAAACTTTGAGAAAACTATTCATCTATCCATTTTTAAATATATCAAATTATTACTTTATTACATAGCTAAAGAGCTATATTTCCTTTTATATTAAAAACCCTACTTTTGTATTAAAAGTACTAAATATCATTTTTTTAAATTCCTATAAACCTATTATTTTTTAAAAATGCCCCCCCCCCCCCCCCCAAATTTGGGGGCCTAAGGCACATGCCTTACCCCCCATCACGTTAGAGCCGACCCTGGTATTTGGAAAAGGAATTCATTTACGTTTGAAGTTCCATTTCTCCGGGAATGACATTTTTCCCTAGGGATGACGTTCGAGGTCTTCACTCTAACGAACCGGCTCATCTAGCCTCGGTCTTTATCCTCGTCGTTACTAGCAAAGAAAGCTTTTTTTGATCGACGCTGAAGCTTGATCAACCCTCGAAACAGCTGAGCCCGATACAACCGAATGAGATGGTTGAGGGTAAACTCTAATCCCTCGGCCTTGCTGGAGAAGTAGCGCAGTATAATCACGATACGCCAAAAGGAGGGATGGATCTGGCTGAGAGTAACCTCATACCTTTTGCAAAAGTCAATCACTATTGGATCAAGGGAACCCCTCCACGTGAGTAGTGATGCTCTCCTCGGGGTTGGGGATCTGTACCACGACCTCGTCTCCCCAGCCACAGTCCTTCTTCATGACCTTGAGATGCTTCTTCGATATCGAACTAATGTATCGAGATACATGTTCGCTTCGGCCTGGGATATTGGGGAATTTTCAATGTTGAAATCTTTCTTTATCACCCAGGGGTCGGGACTGATCTCGTGAAGGGTCGGCGTCACAAGTTTGGCCGGTTGGGAAGAGAAAGAAGAATCCTTCTCTTTTTTAGGAACTGTTTTAGAAGTTTTTTGCCAAGATTTTAAGTTAAATGATACGGAAGGTGGCGGAGCTTGGTGTTTTCCGACACTTAAAGGGCGGCAGAAGCAGGTGGTGAGAGAAAGAGATGAGGAGAACAAGGTATCAGAGAGAATGCGATGAAGAAGTAAAGTTCTTAATTCAAAAAGGGAGTCCCGTATTTATAGATAAGATGGCACGCATTTAATGTTTTGGGAAAGCGAACCGACGGGACGTTCGTACGTCACGGGAATGGCGCCATCATCAGAGACTCCGGAAAATCAAGGTTCAAATCGTTTCTTATCAATTCACTCTAAGAAACGCGGGGACTATCTGTACACCGTGAAATCAGGTGCCCCCGATTTTGTGGGCTCGAAGGTTCATATCGAGGAACAGAAGGCTCGCGTTGAGGAATAGATTCACTACGGACCGAGTTCAAGCTTGAAGACGGAGTGCAAGGCTCGAAGAACTAAGTATTCGAGGAACATCGGAGCCTAATATGACCAGCCTCGAGATAATGCCGTTATGGATTTGTAACAGAATGAGCAAGATTCCCGCCGCGTCCCCAAGATCGTGGCGTAATCCCGAAAAAAATTTATATGAATCCGTACTAGGCGGTTAGACAGTTGTCCCAATAAGATTATTTACTGTAAATAGAAATGTACCTTATTTAGGATTCCCCTATTATATAAAGGGGACCCCAATCATTTGTAACGATCATCAATCATTTGGCAAAGAATATACTCTTACTAATCATCTTTTTCTTAATTGTTCTTGCTTTATTGTTCTTAACCAACCTAGAGGCCGCCTTAGCTCGAAGTTGAGACTGTCTCACACGCTGGTTTTATTCTACTTGTTTCTTTCATTTACACGCTAGTTTTCTTGGTTATTAATTAGTATTAAACTGAATCACATATCTTTAAAACCATAAATCAAATTTAATTGTTACTCGTATTTTCGAGGTAAATAACTAACAATAGTTTTGGTAGAGCTTCTAAATATTGAACAATTTGTCTCGGAAGAACTTGAATCATAACCAGGACACATTCATAATACTTACTATGGAAGTCCCTATCTAGTTGATCGCTTTGTAGTAATTTGCAAGGATTTTCCGAATAGAAACAAATGGCAGTAATTGTTTAATTACGTCAAACTTGAAAATAAGCTAAACTACAATTCTTTAGAGCGAGTCCGTCAAACATCAACTCCCATTGTACTAATTAAGTGGGTTTAATTTTCTAAACTAAAGTAGGAATATTTGAGAAAAGCCAATTTCTTATTTTGGAAAGGCTTAGCCTAGCTAGGAAAATATGTAATTGAGATAGGAGTGGCACTTCTGCTTGGGGTGAGTGAGTTCAAGTTCCTATCTCTGCAATACTCTGTAAGGCTGGTTTCCATTGCCCCCCACCATTATGTCTTCCCACCACACTCCTCTGCCCACTGCTGCTGCTGCTACTTCCTTGTTGATAAGTCTCATGCTCCATCTGAAAAAAGTGCACAAAGATGCATGAATTTTGAGCTAAAGATGATGATGCAGAAAGACCAAATACTGCTTTTTTCAGACCGCCATTTACCAATGACCAATTCAATTATGGTTGGAACAGAATCTCTCTCGTCACTTTGACAGGCGCCCATTATGTTAAAATTAAATGATCTAGTCATATGATAACATAATTTAAGTACATTTTCATCACAATATTCCTTAAGTTTACGAACTGAAAATTTATTAATAATGATTCTCCCCTTGCTTTATATTTGAAAGTCAAAAGGTTCTAAATAAATAATTCATCCTATGACACAAGGGCCAAGGCTAGACTAAATCCAAGTAATGTGCAACTGCAAGACTATTAATTTAGAAGTTGGCTTTTGTACTTTTAATATTAGTAGTAGTTTCCATTATCTCTTGAGTAATTATCGTTTCGTTAAACCAGAGGCCACGCCTTATGGTGCATTTAACGACAGTTCTGATTGGCACACTGGAGTGAACGCTTGGAGATGGAGAAAATAGATTCAGTGCCTCTTCGCTATTTTAAAAATAATATGCCCTAAAAGATTATTACTGTCAATGAAACAGCATAAAGAAATATTATAATACTCTAACAACCACTTGATATTCTGGTAAACTCTTGCATTATACTTAAATTTCTCCTCAACTCCAAAAAAGAATATTAAAATACCCATGTGATTCCCTTTATAATCGACAGAGATAAAGCCCGCAAAATTGGGAAGTGGACTAAAACATATGTAAGTATAATGATCAAGAGAGATATTCTCACCAGACCTCCTATTAATATCTTCTTATTAAGATTCCACCATACCTTTTCATAATAACCAAGTAAAAGCACATGCCTTCCATTATTTCATTTTAACAAACCAAGCAAGCAAAATGAAAGATGCATAGTTCTAGTCAGCCTTTCTCCTTTATAAATTGTATCATATCCTAATTTTGATCTTTGCCCACCCTAGTGTTGTCCCACTACTAATATATGCAACTCACTTCAGCTAGCTCAATAATTGCTTGAATTAAAGTTGAATAGATTCATCTGCCTAAATTGATAGAATATCCTAGAAGTTCAATTTAACTAACTTTCAAAATCGTAATAAAACGAATACGATATGACAGTATATTCTGAAAAACTTAGGTAAAATGTGGATTAGTTTGACTAGCAAAACAAACAAAGTATAGGAAACCATTTTTAGAATAGTTACCTACCAAATTATTCCCCTATTTATTATAGAGACAATTATTTCAGGGATATGCTATTATTTTCCCTAAACAATTATTTCAGGCATGTGTAAAATAATGTAGTTAGGCAAATAATACCACCAACCAAATATACCAATTCCTATCAAATCTCAGATCATCATGGCCTCATAGGCAATAATATCACTAGCCATACTTCATAGGTAAAACAGAGACAGGAAAGCAGGCCCAATATCACTATCCATGGTGCAAAATATGTCTTTGGTTTATTACGTATTTATCAAGTTAGAAGCTTTTCGTTTAATGCACTCAACTTTACAGATGGTAAAGATGCTTTATATTCTGTATACGACAATTGAAGGAAGGTATAGCAATCTTACTTTGCATCACCAAATCTACTTTGATCAAAGACAACAGAATCCTAAATTGCAAGCCAAATTTTTTACTCACTTTCAAAATTAAATACTAACAAAATCTTCTATATCATTTAATATAAATGCAAAAGAAGAGTTTAAACAAACAGTAGGAGTAGTAATTTAAGTTTGTATTCAGTTGGCCGTTGGGTATATTAAAAGGGTGAAAATGACTTAGACCTGGGAATTTAAAACACATCAAGATCAAATATTTCAATCCCAATGGTCCTAAAGGAATAGTACGAATTAATTACCTTAGCTGGGATCCCATTCACCAATCTCGGCTTGGCGTTCACTGCTGGCGGATCGGTCGAGATTTTCTTGGAATCAAGAACAAGGCCTCCACTTTCCCTTAATAACTTGCCAAGTTTCATGCACTTCTTTGCTGCAAACTCTTTCAGTACATCTGAGAAAAATTGATCACCGATTAAAGAACACAAATTGAGAATACAATGGTTTGTTTTTTTTGAAAGAAATACTCCCTCTCTTAATTTAAGACACATTTTGCTTATTCAGAGTCAATTTGACTAAACTTTGGAGGCAAATTAGATAAGTTCAACTCAATATTTTAAAATTAAAATTTATAAATTCAAAAATTATACGAATTGCAATTTGATAAACACATAGTACTTTTTAAAATGCTGGACAAACTTCGCACAAATTTAATAAGCGAAATGTGTCATTTAAATCGAAACCGAGGGAGGTAATAACAAAGTCACGTGATCATGCCTGAAATTCTTTTACCTTCGAAGCTGATGAGTCGATAAACTTGGCCAAGAAGTAAAGTATCGCCGGGTCGGAGAAGCTTGAGCTGTCTCACGGGGGAACCATTGTGTGTTCTCTGATCAGTTGGAGAAGAGATAACAAGGGCGACGTAATGGCCAGGATTTGAGCTCATGACTTCATGTGCAGTTGTAGACCAGTAAATTTTCTCCACTTTGTTACCTGGATGTTGAATCACCATTGTTGCCGCCTCTGCCGCTTGGCAATTTCCCATGATTGATATATGCAAACTACTCCTAGTAGTATTATCAAAATGCACAGAATTTGTACGTAGTAGTAGTAGTAATGGCGTGAGTTATTTCACTTTTTCTGCCTGAAATTAAAGATGAATAGAAGAAATTGGTTGGGGGGACTTGGTTACTAGTGAGACAGAGACGATTTGATGGAAACTTTATAATTGAGAGAAGCTGATAAATCGAAACTGACTTGTCAACCAATAATAAAAGAATGAAGGTCAGAGAGGACTCTGACGTTCTTCACACTCATCTATGTAGAACGTACGATAAGATTCCAGAGGTGTGAGACAGAAATCAATCAAAGTCGAATCACTGAAATAGAAACCAAAGTCGAATCATGCCTACAAGTATTGGGAACTTGCAATAAGCACGGTTTTCTGTTGTGTATATCTTTGTGTAAATGTGGAGAAAAAGAAGTAGTAGTTGTAAAGGAAATGATGTAATGGGGGAGTGCAGAAGAAGAAGAAGCAGCAGTAGTTGCCAGAGAAAATGATGTAACGAGGCGTGAAGTAAATTAGGAGCGTGTGAAGAAAGCATAAAACAGAGGAATGAGGGGTAGCTTTAAATAGAGAGACGTAAGAGAAATGTATTAGATCTGCCAAACCCCATAACCTGAGCTATATGGACTACGTTGTCAAAGAAACAAAGCCTTTGCTGCTGCACAATAGGATTTCAATTACTACTATTTTCTCCGTTCCAATTTAGATTAGATAGTTTGATACTTTGATTCGGCACAAAATTTAAGATAAAAAGGGGTCTTAAAAGTTTTGTATCACCGTGATATTTGTGTGGTTATAAAGCTTCTCACTAAACATAAAATGAATAAAATAAAAAAAATTAAAATTAGATTATTTTCAATTATAAAAATGTATCATCAGAGAGTACTACTATAGTTTATGAGTTAAGACTTCACGTTTACAGGTGAGAAACTGTGAAAGACAGAGAGAGGCACGTGGACCTCCCTTTTGGGTCTTCCATTTTTCCTATTCATTTTACTGCCATCGTGCGTGTCACTGCAACTCTGCACATCTCTCTCTCTCTTTAGTTATTTTATATATAGGGAGGCATAAGAAAAAGAGAAAAAACATTTCGGAAGTATCGAACTTTACTCCCTCTCTTTAAAAAAAATGAACTTTTTATTATTTAGGGAGTAAAATAAGATTTTATTTAATCATATTTTTTATAAATAATTTTTAATATTTTGAATTGTTAACTATTTTAACTTATAGTACTTTTTATATAACTTTTAGATATATAAATTTATTTTAAAAAACTTAAAGACCGTATGTACGACTTTATACAGAAAATTAACTATTTTGACCCTTTTTACTCAAAAAAAGTACAAACAAATTGAAATGTTATTGTGCTTAATTTGTCAAAGAGAATGAAAAGGAAATAAAGTAATCTTACGGGGCTACACATATATGGATGTTTTGTTTGCGAAAAGACACTAGCAGAATGAAAAGAAGCTAACAGACTGTTCGGTTTGTTGAAATAAATTATAGTAGTATACAATTGGATGTTTGGATCTATTATCACGATCTAAACATAGGTATACAATAAATAAATAAATAAATAAATAAATAAATAAATATTATATTTTAAGTTAGATAAAAATTAGTTCCCAATACTACTATTGATCTTCGTTAAAATTTACTCAATCAGTATTGATTTAATGACCATATATTATTAAACATGTGTAAAACCATTTAAAATTAATTAAATTCATAATTGTCAAAGTTTTGATTAAATTAAATAGAGAAAATGTAAAGGAAAAGTTAAAATGAAATTGGATTTTGGAAGTTATATTAGAGATCTTATAGAGTAAGCAGATGTACATGCTGAAAGTAAAAGGGGATGTTATTGTCAATATAGTAAAGCCCTATAATGCCACGATTATACTTGTGATAGGTTCAAATTGAATCCTCAGTAAGGAGTCTTATTTGCTCCAAGTTTGTTAACCAACATTTATTTTTGTCATATTTAATAGCAAGATTGTGTACAGGTGTAAACAAGCCAGTGTAATTAAATCCTTATAAGGGCTTAAATTATATAGCCGTGTTTCCTGAGAGTGAGGAGCGTTAGTGCAATGCCTTCCTGGTTAGTTGGTGACCATACTCCTCTTAATTTGTACCAGAAAAGATAAGAGTTAAATAATGGAAATTTTACCTCCTACAGTAAAGGTATACACCCTATTTAGTATAAGTCAAAATTATTTTAAAATATTATTTTCTATAGTTACCTTTTATATTTTATAGCAAAATAAGTATTTATGGTATATTATATTAGAGAAAATGAATATTACACGTGGAATTAATTATGTGGCTGACATGGCAAGACATGTGGATCACTAGAAAAGCGACAACTGGAGAAGAGTATTAAAAAAGACGTGAGTCTTAATAGATACGAGCAAAATATCTAAGAGATGAGAAGAAGCGGTTGCTTGAGTCTCTTTAGCGATTTGAAGAGGCACCGGAAGAATGAACCAAGACAGTAAAAAGGACAGATTCGTAGGTCTTCAATTAATAAGCATGGATGATTACAAACGTTATGGAATCTTCACGAAACGGTTACGATTACCAATTATAACGTTTCATTAATGTCATTAATGCTCATAATGATTCGATCATAAAAGGAAAAAGACGTTGTACTTAGAGATCACTATATAAGGGAAAGAAATGTCATATGTATGGACACGTTCTGATTATTATTGGAATATAATTACTTACTTTTGCTTTCTATTGATTACTTCGCTATTTCATATTCTATTTTCCTTACATATTGCAAGAATATTGATTTTCTTGATTATCAGTAACCCGAGTACTTCTAAAAACAGGCTTTGACCGAAATTCCTATTTTTTGGTTAAACAAATTAGTTCCGTTACCAGAAATCTGATAATCTATTCATTTTTCAAATTCTTTTTCCTATCAAAAAAAAAATATCGAATGCTAACGACAACAACCAACAAAATCAGCAACACCAGTTGAACCAGCAAAATCAACAAGAGGATGGAACTCCAGTCCCTTCACCACGAAACTCTCCTCAACAATCCCGAGAAGGGTCACATGACAGATCTATATCACATGCGAATGACCAACATGGGGATGATCAAGCTATTGATGAAGCATTAAAGTAATTAATCGCAGAATAGGTCAACAATGTTCTTCAAGCTTTTGTTAGTTGGTTGCCAACTGTACCACAAACTCCACCTCCGAATAACACCAAAACCATAGAAAATCCACGCTCGAGACTTGCCAATTCGAGCAGTGGAGGAACTCCCAGCGAATCTCGTGATGGAAGGTCAGGTATTCCAATTAATTCTAATTTACAAAGTTTAGTACTAACTTTGTAGAAACATCTCAAGGAGCAGAACGATCGCATAAAGCAGATACCTGGTGTACCACCTATAATCAAAGGAGTGGATATGGATAAATATTCTAAACAACCTTGGAAGCCAAGTGCCGCTCCTTTGCCTATTCCAAAAAAGTTTAAGATGCCCGATATCCCGAAGTATGATGGGACAAACGATCCACGAGATCATGCAACTGCATTTACAACTGGCGTGAAAGGCAACGATTTGACTAAAGCAAGAGATTGAATCAGTGCTGGTCAACAAATTCGGTGAAACACTCACAAAGGGAGCACTAACATGGTATTCTCTTTTATTTGAAAACTCTATTGATTCTTTTGCTGAGCTTGCAGATTCATTTATAAAAGCACACTCGGGAGCTCAAAAAGTTGAAAAGAGGATGAAAGACATCTTCAAAATAAAACAAGGAGATACGGAGCTACTCTGGGTATTCGTGGATAGATTCCAACGTGAAAGAATGATGTTACCACGTGTACCTGACAATTGGGCGGCTATGGCATTTGTAAGTAATTTAAATAAAAAAAAGCTCAGAAGCCACGAGGAGACTCAAAGAAAGCTTACGAGAATTCCCTGCAACAACTTGGAATGATGTTTATAACAGGTATAGCACGAAGCTGCGGATAGAAGAAGATACTATCACTTAGTCATGGGGGGATGAAAGAGTAAGTTCGAGGCGACCAGAAACTGAAAAGAGGTCCAGTAAGAACAGGTACGAACCTTACATGGGACCAGTAGGAAGGGATTCACGTTCAAAACAAGAGAACCTGAGGTACGATTCCAGATCAAGGGACAGAGATTCGGGTTCGTCATCCAAGTTTGGAAAGGAGCGAGACACACGGGATACGCGGGACAACGATAGAAGTTCAAAAGCGAAGATTGGCGGTTATAGTTTCAATGTCAGCACATCTGAGTTGGTAGCTATTTTAAAAAGCATGGGAGATAAGGTGCGGTGGCCAAAATAAATGAGATCGAACCCGAACAGAAGAAACCCAGATTTCTGGTGTGAGTTTCATAATGATCACGGTCATAAAACAGCATATTGCAGATTGCTACAAGGTGAAGTATAGCACTTATTGAAACAAGGCTACTTAACTGATTTGTTTAGTATGGTAAGCAAGATATATGAAGAATAAACAGGAGCCACCAAAACCTCCGTCACCAAAGAGATCGGTTAATGTCATAAGCGGAGGAGAGGAGGTCAATGGAATGACATATACGGCTGCAAAAGAGGTGTCAAAAATCACAGTTACCCACGGGAAGCGAGTTCGCCGAGTTTTGGAAGAAGACAGTATAACATTTGATGATGCAAACGCAGATGGCGTGTTGATCCCACACAATGATGCACTGGTAATATCTTTACTTGTACATGATACTAATGTGAAACAAGTTTTGATTGATCGAGGTAGCTCTGTAAATATCATTCTTTTAAGAGTGGTAAACGAAATGCAAGCTGATGACAAATTGGTACCCAAAGCACGTACCTTATCTGGATTTGACAATTCAAGCGTTGTCACAAAAGGGGAGATAATACTTGCCACATTCGTAGAAGGAGTAGTCAAAGATACAAAATTCAAGTAATAGATATGGATATGGCGTACAATATTATCCTCGGCAGACCATGGATTCACGAGATGGATGTTGTTCCATCTACTTTACATCAGGTTATTAAGTTCCCTTCACAATGGGGAATTAGGCAAATCCGTGGTGATCAGCAGGCTTCTAGAAGTATCAATTCAGTGGCGGGTTCAAGCAAACAAAATGACGCCGCAGATGTGAAATGGCAATTACAGAATTCAGTTGAGGGTTTAACAACTCAAACCTCAACCGAATATGGACAAACAAATGTAGACTCAAGGCCTGATACTATTCATGAGCCGAAAAAGAACGAAAACATCAAAACAACAATTGAGGAACTCGAAGCTGTGGTGCTGTTTATACATTGGCCGGACAGAAAAGTTTATATCGGAACCAATTTGAACCCAGAGTTGAAAGGTAAGTTAATTAAATTCTTAAAAGCTAATGCAGATTGCTTTGCTTGGTCGCATTAGATATGACGGGTATACCCCCGGAGGTGATGACTCATAAGCTGAATGAAGACCCAACACACCCACCTGTCAAACAAAAGAAAAGGAAGCAAGGATCCTTCAAAAACCAGGTGATTCAAGATGAGGTACAAAAGTTTTCAAAAATTGGGTCTATCTGAGAGGTAAAATATAATTGGC